TGGCTGGGGGCGAGTGGCCTGCAGCCTGCCCGGGCAAGGCTCACGTCACAGGTGAAGCTAAGCCCCGTGTGTTTTATCTGTGCTGAGGGCGCAGGGCTCAGGCAGGGCCTTGGAGGCGAAGGCCAGGGGTGGGGAGCAGATTATGATGAAACGTCCCAGTAAAGCCCTTGTCTCCTGGGGGCGTTTTGAGGCCTGTGGCTCTCATACCTCGGCTGTTTCTCAGCGGAGGCAGCTGCACTTTACCTAGCTGCGTTCCCGCCATAGTACCTGGGGGAGGTTAGGCCTCACGCCCGGACCGAGCAAACGGGGATTGGTGTAGCGTGGCTGCTGCACTCTCATCCCAGCGGTGGTTGCATGTCAGTGGTGGGTGAAGGAGTCCCAGCAGCTTGGGAATCCTGCTGGGTGAAAGGTGATCCCTTGAATTCGATGTACTGTACAAGTGATGCCTCTCAGAGCTCAATAAGAGCTACCCCCGCTGGCTGCCTATTAGCTGGGGAATGATGCCCTGTCTCCATTTGTCATTCCTGTCCATTCCTGATCCACGGGCAGGTCGCTTGTAGGGCAATGCTGGCTCTGGCTCTCCCTCGGTCAGGTGAGGAGTTTCCTAGTTGCTTTTTGCTCGGACGTCTTTTCAGTTCCTGAGAGTTTGTTATTTACCACGCCCCCAGTTTTTGTGTCATCTGCAAACCTTATCAGTGATCACTTTATGTTTTCTTCCAGGGCATTGAGAAAAATGTTAAATAGCGTAGGGCCAAGAACCAATCCCTCGAGACCCCACTAGACGTGATGATGATTGCCACTTTACAGTCACATCTTGAGACTTATCAGTTAGCCAGTTTTTAATCCATTTAATGGGGTTAATTTTATATCATTCTAATCTATTAATCAAAGTGTCAAGTATCATGTGGTGCCAAGTCAAGTGCCTTACAGAAGTCTAAGTGTATTACATCAACACTATTACCTTTATAAACTAATGTTGTAATCTTATCAAAAAAAGATATAAGGTTAGTTTGACAGGATCTGTTTTCCACAATCCCATGTTCATTGGCATTAATTATATTATGCTCTTTGAATTGTTAATATTTTTTGAGTCCCATACCAGCTGCTCCATTAGTTTGTCCAGGATCGATGTCAGGCTGACAGGCCTGTAATTACTTGGATCATCCCATTTACCTTTTAAAATATTTGCACGTTAGCTTTCTTCCAGTCTTCTGGAACCTACCTAGTGTTCCCAGACTTATAGAAAATCCACTTTAACAGTCCAGAGAGCGCCTTGGCCAGCTCTTTACAAATTCTTGGATATAAATTTTCTGGACCTACTCATTTAAAAATTAAAAAACCTCTATTTTTGTAACTCCTATTTAACATCCTCCTGAGTTACTGCTGGATAGGAAAGTGTCTCACTGTGGGGAGGTCTCTGGATAGTCCAGGGCAGGGATCTGGGCAGCGTAACTTGTTGCTGTGTTTGGTTTGATCTTCCCAATGACTCATATATTGGTGTTTTAGGTTCTGGTCTAATGTTACGAGTTAATATCCCGAGCTATCTGCAGTGCACAGCGACAAGTTTTATTGATCCTACAAAACCCAGGACCTGTGCTACTATTGCTGAGTACCATCTACTGGCACCTTATCTGTCAACTAGCTTTCACAGCTCCAACATTTATAAGCTTCTCTCTGTGTGTATGTCCAACAGCTTCTATGTGTGCGTGTGTCTGCACGCACACGCATGTGGGTTCGTACATCTAGACATTTCTCCCTTTCAGTGTGTGGAGTATGTTTGCTTGTGTATGTCCTGCGTTTTCTTTCTTTGTGTGCGTGTGTGGTTGTATCTAGCCGGGGAACAGTGGATTTAACGCTGGGACTCAGGTGATCTGGACACAATTGGTCATTCTACCACAGATTTCCTGTGTGACCTTGGGTGAGTTACACGGAGTCCAGTTTTCAAGTGCTCAGCATCTACCACTGGAGCCAAGTTTTCAAAACAGCTCAGCACCCAGCACGCTCAGGTCTTCTGAAAATCTGGCCCTTTACTTCAGTTGCTAAATGGGCAGTGAGCTCTTTTGTAAAACTGGCCCTGATAGTGGGTGCTGAGCTCTTTGCAAACTATGGTCCTTAATCTCTCTGGGCCTCCGTTCTCTATCCGTACAATGGGGATAATAGCACTTCCCTACCCCCAGGGTGCTGCGAGGACAAGTTCAGTAATGTCTGATGGGTGCTCAGAGTGATGGGGGCCATAAAATTACCTGGATTGATACACAGCCCCTGAGTGGGTGCACCTCTAACAGCTTCTCTCTCTCAATATCCAGAGTCTTTAAGGCCAGACGGGACTATTAGTCCATCTAGCCTGAGCTCAACAGCCGTAGAATTTCACCCTGTTGCCTCTGTATTGAGCCCGATTACTTGTGTGTGGCTAAAGCATCTTCGTGAAAGAGATGGAGAATCCACCACTGCCCTTGGTGGATTGTTCCAGTGGTTAATCACCCGCACTGCTAAACATCTGTGCCTTCTTTCTCATTTGAATTTGTTTGGTTTTAACTTCCAGCCATTGGTTCTTGTTCTGCCGTGCTCTGCTAGATAAAAGAGCCTGGTATTTTCTACACGGGGAGATATTTATGCACCATGATCAAGTCACCTCTTGTTCTATACATTTATTTTCGCACTGTCTTTGTGTTTTTTAGAGAAGACACTTTGAATGGTTTATGAGAAGAAAGCAAGATGGACGGAAGTCAGCCCCGCATCGAGACTCCCACGGCTCCCAAGAAGATCTCTCTGCTTTCCTCTCCCATGCGGGCAGTCATCCGTCTGCGACGAAAAGTCCAGTTCCTGAAGAAAAGCCGCCTGCATCTGAACCTTCCCAGAGAACCATCTCCAGAGCTGGTCCAAACTAGGCTTCTTCAAAGGCAGATTTCCTTGAGCCGAACAAACCTGTGTAACCCTTCGATGGCCCTCTTTAATCAAGCCACCTTTGACAGTTCTCAGTACTTCACCTTTGACACCACTGTGGACCATTCAGTGGTGAATAAATACAAACGGAAGAAGACCCGCAGGAAGTCCAGGGTGGTGTTGTATCCAGAAAGCTCCAAAAAGTACCTTCCAACAGAGCAAAAGAGTAAAGCAAAGCGCTGCCTTCTCTTGCTCATTGGCATCATCTGCTTCCAAATACTAAATGCTATTGAGAATCTGGATGACAACCTTCAGAAGTATGACCTAGATGGGCTGGAGAAAACCATGCACCGGGAAGTATTTGGGCAGAAGGTGGCTGTGGACAGAATTATGGAATTGTTGAAAGAATACCTGGCCACCCACATACACAACAAGCCATTAGTGATCTCCTTCAATGGCCCACCTGGGGTTGGAAAGAGCCATGTTGGATGGCTGCTGGCTAAACACTTCCGTTCAGTCATGGACAATGACTTTGTGCTTCAGTACTTTGTGATGCACCACTGTCCAAACAAGGAGGCTACTCCTGCTTGCCAATCGGATTTGTCTGAAAAGATTTCCGAGATGGTCACCAGAGCAGAAATAGAAGAGAAGATACCATTGTTTATTCTGGATGAGGTTGAGCTCATGTCTCCAGTCCTGCTGGATACGCTCAGCAGATTCTTCCAACCGAACCAGACCAACGAGTTCCTCAATGCCATCTACGTTCTAATAAGCAACCTAGGGGGCAGTGAAATCACAACGTTTGCCCTCCAGAATGTTTCCAGTGACCTGCTGCACCAGCAAAGACAAACAGAAGAACTGCTGTACATTATCCAGCCTGTTCTGACCCACTTCCACCCTCTTTGGAAGTCTGCTGACATCATCCCATTTGGTCTGCTGGAGAAGAGTCATGTCATAAACTGCATCTTGGAGGAGATGATGCGGGAAGGGCTGTACCCCGATCAGAGCCATATTGAGAAGTTAGCTAGCCAGCTCGGCTATTACACTACAGGAGGCAGGGAGTACGCCATAACGGGCTGCAAGCAGGTCGGAGCCAAAGTCAATCTACTGTAGCAGCAACCATAAAGAAGA